CATTGGGATCACCCATCTGGACTTGGGAGGGTCTAGCCCATACACTGTGCAGATGTTCCTGTACACAATGCCAGCTACTCGGTTGTGCCATTTAATGTACAGTACGCTGTTCCTGCCTACATCTTACATCCTGCCACTATGTGTTGGACTATCTCTGAGGCCTCTCTGCACAGTCTGCACTTTGGGTCTTGTCTAGTGTGGTAGAGCCCTGCTTCTATGGATCTGGTGCTTAGTGCCTGTTCTTATGCTGCTATGATCAGTGCCTCAGTGCTCTTTTAGTCCAGTCCTTTCCAGCCACTGATAGGATTTCCCAATGTCAGCCACCTCAGACATTCTCTCAGCAACTCATCTTTGGGTGCCATCTTATTGATTAACTCCTAGATGCTCTGAGTTTTGTCCAGGACAGTGGCTTTGACACTCACCAGACCCCACCCGCTCTCTTTCTGACTGGTGTACAGTCTCTGGATGTTGAACTTGGAGTGGAAACTCGGTACCTTGTGAGGAGCTTCCGGGTCTTCACATTGGCAGCCTCCATGTCCTCCTTTGGACAGCTCACTATACCGGCAGGGTAACTGATGATTGGCAGGGTGTACATGTTGATGATGTGGATCCTGTTCTTCCCATTGAGCTGTCTCTTGACCTGTCTTATCCTTTGGTGGTACTTGGATGTTGCTGTCTTCCTTGCCTCCTCATCGTGGTTCCCATGTGACTGTGGAATACCAAGGTACTTGTAGCTGGTCTGTAGGTCTGCTATGTGGCCCACTGGTAATTTCACCCCATCAGCCTTAACTACTTTCCCTCTCTTTACTACTGTCTGGCTGCACTTCTCTAGTCCGAATGACATTCCAATGTCCTCACTGTAGATCCATGTCAGGTGGATGGTGAGTTGATGTATTGTTCACTCTTAGAGTACAGCTTGATGTCATCCATGTAGAAGAGGTGGCTGATGGTAGTTCCACTCTTGAACTTGTATCTGTATCTGGTCCTTGTGATTATCTGCCTGAAGGGGTTTAAGCCTATGCAGAGCAGCAGTGGGGACAGTGCATCATCTTGTGTCAGGCCTAGCCCAAAGAACTCCTGGAGACCATGCAGGTTCAATCAGCAAGGGTTATTAGCCAGCGCCTGTTTACAGAAAT